GCTGTGTTCTCTCCTCCTCCTCCCTCCTCCTCCTCCTCCTCCTCCTCCTCCTGGTGGTCCTCGTTCTCCTCCTCCTGGTACTCTCCCCCCCCCTCCTCCTCCTCCTCCTCGTCCTCGTCCTCCTCCTCCTCCTCCTCCTCTTCCTCCTCCTCCTCCTCCTCCTCCTCCTCCTCCTCCTCCTCCTCCTGGTACTCCTCCCCCTCCCCTCCTCCTCCTTCTCCTCTTCCTGGTCGTCCTCCTCCTCCTGGTCGTCCTCCTCCTCCTGCTCGTCCTCCTCCTCCTCCTCCTGCTCGTCCTTCTTCTCCTGCTCCTCCTGCTCCTCGTCCTGCTCCTGCTCGTCCTCGTCCTCCTGTCTTGCTCGTCCTCCTCCTCGTCGTGCTCTTGCCCCTGCTGAAAATGTGGCCCAGGAATGGGAGTTCTGGGAAGTCGAAGAGCACGAAGTTGCCTACAGTTGGCTACGAGCATTCAAAATGTGGCCCGGGAATGGAGTTCTGGGAACTCGAAGAGCACGAAATGGCCTACAGTTGGCTCCGGGCATTCAGAATGTGGCCCGGGAATGGAGTTCTGGGAACTCGAAGAGCACGAAGTGGCCTACAGTTGGCTCCGGGCATTCAAAATGTGGCCCGGTAATGGAGTTCTGGGAACTCGAAGAGCACGAAGTGGCCTACAGTTGGCTCCGGGCATCCAAAATGTGGCCCGGGAATGGAGTTCTGGGAACTCGAAGAGCACGAAGTGTGTGACTGTTGCATCCGGTTATTCTAAAGGTGGCCCGGGAATGGCGTTCTGGGATCTCGAAGAGCACTTTGTGTGTGACTGTTGCATCCGGGTATTCAGAATGTGCCTGGGAATGGAGTTCTGGGAAGGCGAAGAGCACGAAGTGTGTGACTGTTGGTGAAAAACGAGCCCGGCACCCTGCCGCCCGGCAACTCCCCAACACCTGCCCGGACCCCCCTGTGGAGTGATCTGTGAGCTCTTTTGGGTCAACTAGAAACCTATCAGTCTTCGCTGTTAGGTAATTATCCCGGCAAAGCAACCTAACATCGATGTGTAGGAGCATATCTGGAAGCATTCCCCTTAAGATTCGGATGAGAATCCAGTTGTAGAATTCTGCTGTTCTCGCAGTCGTAGTCGCATTCGCGATGACAGTCGCAGTGGCAACGCAGTCGCAGTCGCAGCCTCAGCCTCAGCCTGCCTCAGCCTCAGCCTCAGCCTGCCTCAGCATCAGCCTGCCTCAGCCTCAGCCTCAGCCTGCTTCAGCCTCAGCATCAGTCTGCCTTCAGCTCGCCTCAGCCCTCAGCTGTCTCAGCCTCATCCCACCTGTCATCGCCTTCAGCCGCAGCTCATCCTCCGTATCATCAGCCTCTCAGCCCCCTCAAAGCCCTCTACCTGCCTCAGCCTCAGCCTCAGCCTGCTTCAGCCTCAGCCTCAGTCTGCCTTCAGCCTCGGCCTCAGCCTCACCCTGCCTCAGCCTCAGCCTGCATCAGCCTCAGCCTCAGCCTCAGCCTGCCTCAGCATCAGCCTGCCTCAGCCTCAGCCTCAGCCTCAGCCTGCCTCAGCCTCATCCTCAGCCTGCTTCAGCCTCAGCCTCAGTCTGCCTGCAGCCTCGGCCTCGGCCTCAGCCTGCCTCAGCCTCAGCCTGCCTCAGCCTCAGCCTCAGCCTGCCTCAGCCTCAGCCTCAGCCTGCTTCAGCCTCCGCCTCAGTCTGCCTTCAGCCTCCGCCTCAGCCTCAGCCTGCCGCAGCCTCAGCCTGCATCAGCCTCAGCCTTAGCCTCAGCCTGCCTCAGCCTCAGCCTGCATCAGCCTCAGCCTCAGCCTGCCTCAGCCTCAGCCTCAGCCTGCTTCAGCCTCAGCCTCAGTCTGCCTTCAGCCTCGGCCTCAGTCTCCGCCTGCCTCAGCCTCAGCCTGCATGAGCCTCAGCCTCAGCCTCAGCCTGCCTCAGCCTCAGCCTGCCTCAGCCTCAGCCTCAGCCTGCCTCGGCCTCAGCCTCAGCCTGCTTCAGCCTCAGCCTCAGTCTGCCTTCAGCCGCGGCCTCCGCCTCAGCCTGCCTCAGCCTCAGCTGCATCAGCCTCAGCCTCAGCCTCCTCTGCTCAGCCTCAGCATTCTTCAGCCTCATCCTCCTCCTCAGTCCTGCCTTCCGCCTCGGTCCTCAGCCTCAGCCTGCCTCAGCCTCAGTCCTGGCCTCAGCCCTAGCTCGCCTCAGCCTGCATCAGCTCAGCCTGGCCTCAGCCTCGCCTCAGCTGCCTCAGCTCAGCCTCCTCAGCCTCAGCCTGCTTCAGCCTCAGCCTCATCCTGCCTTCAGCCTCGGCCTCCGCCTCAGCCTGCCTCAGCCTCAGCCTGCATCTGCCTCAGCCTCAGCCTCAGCCTCAGCCTCAGCCTCAGCCTGCCTCAGCATCAGCCTGCCTCAGCCTCAGCCTCAGCCTGCCTCAGCCTCAGCCTCAGCCTCAGCCTCAGCCTGCTTCAGCCAAAGCCTCAGTCTGCCTTGAGCCTTGGCCTCAGCCTCAGCCTCAGCCTGCCTCAGCCTCAGCCTGCATCAGCCTCAGCCTCAGCCTCAGCCTGCCTCAGCATCAGCCTGCCTCAGCCTCAGCCTGCCTCTGCCTCAGCCTCAGCCTGCTTCAGCCTCAGCCTCAGTCTGCCTTCAGCCTCGGCCTCAGCCTCAGCCTGCCTCAGCCTCAGCCTGCCTCAGCCTCAGCCTCAGCCTGCCTCAGCATTCAAAATGTGGCCCGGGAATGGAATTCTGGGAACTCGAAGAACACGAAGTGGCCTACAGTTGGCTCCGGGCATTCAAAATCATGCCCAGGAATGGAATTCTGGGAACTCGAAGATCACGAAGTGGCCTACAGTTGGCTCGGGGCATTCAAAATGTGGCCCGGGAATGGAGTTCTGGGAAGTCGAAGAACACGAAGTGGCCTACAGTTGGCTCCGGGCATCCAAAATGTGGCCCGGGAATGGAGTTCTGGGAAAATAGAAGAGCACGAAGTGGCCTACAGTTGGCTCCGGGCATCCAAAATGTGGCCCGGGAATGGAGTTCTGGGAAATGGAAGAGCACGAAGTGGCCTACAGTTGGCTCCGGGCATCCAAAATGTGGCCCGGGAATGGAGTTCTGGGAAATCGAAGAGCACGAAGTGGGCACGAAGTGTGTGACTGTATGCGAAAAACGATCCCCGCCGGCAAACCCCAACAGCCCCCCAACTGCCCCCCAACTGCCCCCAACGGCTGCCCAGACCCCCCTGTGGAGTAATGTTGAAGTAATGTTGAAGTAATGTGCTGCTCTCTTTTTAGCCCATTAGAAACGTATCAGTCTTCGATGTTAGGTAAATACAGTGTTTCTCCCTGGGCTCACACCCTGTTCTTTTACAGAGGAAATCGAGGGGTCACCAATCTGTGCCACTGGCCCCTGGTTTACAACAACAACCACGGATCCCGCCTGATGCTTCCTCACAAGTTCTTCCTAGATCGTCGGATTGTGCCACGTGCGTTCTGCTCCCAGCCCTCCTCCTGCTACTCTCTTTCCCTCCTCTTCCCTCCTCTTCCCTCCTCTTCCCTCCTCTCCCTCTTCCCCTCTTCCCTCCTCTTCCCTCCTTTCGTGCTCCATCCTCTTCCCTCCTCCTTGTCCCTTCCTTCCATCCGTCCTCTGTGCCCCTGCCTTAGGGGCTGCACGAAACAGACGTTGCAGGTAAGATATATATATATATATAAATACATATATATATACCCCCCAGGGGCACCATCGCAGACGAGGAGGGCGGGTATCGAGAATTCGGGAAATACGTGTTGAATGGCACGCGAGCGGATAAGAGTGAACAGTCTTACAGTGATTGGTATTGTCGTTGTTGTTGTTGATGGTGGTGGTGGTGTTGTTGGTGTTGTTGTTGCAGGTGTCGGTGTTGGTGTTGTTGCTGCTGTTGTTGTTGCTGGTGTCGCTTTTGAGTTTTCATTTCTCAAGACTAATTATTGGTGACCCACCCTCGGGGGCACACGGTACTTTGTCAAGTGAGGTGCTTCTCCCGGGGCTCGCACCCAGTTTTTTACAAAGACGAGCGTGGGGGCATCACATTTTGGGCCCGTCGCCCCCGGTTTACAAGAACAGCGGCTCCCGCACGATATTTCCTCCCAATGCATTCCAGCATCGCGCTCTCGCCCGGGACTTCCCCACAATGTATGCAGGAATCGCGCCCTCGCGCGGGAATTCCTCGCCATGCAATCCGGCGCCGCGCTCTCGACACTCAGAAGTCACGCTTTCGCTATGGCTTGTCTCACGGCTTACGTGGGAATCGCGCTATCGTTCGAGCTCTCCTTGCGATGCATGCGGTACTCACGGTTCAGCAGTACGCCTTCTCGACCTGGCTGCCAGGGCCCGCCTTTCCGACCCGCCGGTTCGGGTTTAGCCCGCCCGATGGGCCCGTCTTGTTCTGCCACGTGTGTTTTGTTCCTAGCCCCCCTCCTGCTAATCCCGTGGTCCATCCTTCTCCCTCCCCCTACCATCCGTCCTCTCTTTCCCTGCTTCTGGGGCTGCACCAATTACGCGCGGTAGGCATGGAAGATATACCCCAACGAGGAGGGTGGGTATCGAGGGCTTTGGATATACGTGTTGAATGGCACACGAGCAGGTAAGAGTGAACATTGTTAAAATGAGTGTTGCTGTTGTTGTTGCTGTTGTTGTGTATTGGTGGTGTTGTTGTTGGTGTTGGTGTTGGTGTTGTTGGTGTTGGTGTTGTCGTATTCGTCGTTGTTGTTGGTGGTAGTGTTGTTGTTGTGCTTGTTGTTGTTGTCGTTGGTGGTGGCGTTGCTGTTTGTTGTCGTCGTCCCACCCCGCGACCTGGCCCGCGACCCACCCGCGACCCACCCCGCGCCCGCCGCCTCACTCTTATTCGCAATTGCGGAGTGTTACAGTATTCGTTCATACTCACGCTCAGTCTCACGGGCACGTTCGCGTCCAGACTGTTTTGATTTCTCAGAGGGGGAGGAGCAGAAGGAGGGGAAGGAGGAGTTGTCTGGGGCAGGTGCATGGCCAGTGTTCATCGCGATCACTTGGAACCAGACGACGCCGAATGACAGAAAGGAGCGGGACAGGATGATGGTACTCGTCTTGTTCGCCATTGTCCTTCTGATTGGTTTCAGCTTCATGCCCATGGTGGATTCCCGCCCCTGCGTTCGCGCCCGCTCGAGCCGTTCCAGCGCCCGCATTGCGGGCGTCGCCGCGGCATGAGAGTATCTGCGTTCGGGCAGTAGCGCCTTGAGGGCTCGACGGCTTGGGTGCGCTCCAGGTCGCGCAACGATGGCCAGCCCGACTGGCTGTGACAGTGCGGTCTCCTAGCGGGCCTGCCTTGGGCAGGTGTGGGCCATCGTGCCGCAGCTGTGCGTGCTCAGGGCTGCCTGTGGCCCAGATATCCGACGTCGGGATGTCTGCTTCACGGTGTGGACCCCTCGAGGTCACGCCCCCTTCCGGGGGACCCGCTGTTCGCCCCGAGCCGTGTTTGGACGCCCTGGGGCCCAGGGATGCCCTCTGAAGGCCGAAAGTTGCCAAGAAGTTCCCGTCGTGTGCTTTCCGCGGCGCGAGGAGGTGGGGGGGCTGGGGAGAGGTGAGGGGAGGATACTGGAGAGGGGAGAGGAGGAGGTGAGGGGGGATTGGGGGACCGAGGCTGAGGGGAGGTGAAAGGGGGGCCGGGGGTGAAGGGAGGAGACCGAGGATTGAAGGTCTCCAGAGATCCTCCCAGGGGAGCCTCTGCGCTCCTGGCTCGCAGGTCTTCTGCGGCAGCCCGAGGGAAAACCGGAGCAGGAGGGAAGGCAGGGGCAATGTTAGGGGGTGATAGGCTCAGGGGGGCATTCAGCGACCCCCAATCGCGCATTATTCAGCGACCCCCAATCGCCCATTGATCGCTGATGGGGGCCGATGGCCCACCCCGCACAGAAACGTTCGGATTCGCTGTCGGGGCAAATCGCCGATTCACTGGCGATGTATCGCCGATTCCCGCCCGATGTTTCTCTGCCTGAGCCGGTCCCCCCTACGTTCCCCGTCACGAAGGGATACGGGCGTCAGGGGCGCCCAGGAGTGGGGAGGACTAAGGGGGCTGTGGATGTCATGCCTCTTCTGTTGTTGTATGATTCCCTACCCAGGCTCTGCCTAGAAGGGTTCTTACTGTCTCAGCTTAAAGGGGCCGGGCAGTGGAACACGCCCCGGGCGGTTTCCCCAGTCCCTTGGGAGCGGTTCCCCCGGTCCCCTGGGAGCTTTAGCTTTAGCTTAGCTTTACCTTAGCTTAGCTTAGCTTTAGCTTAGCTTGAGCTTAGCTTCAGCTTAGCTTCAGCTTAGCTTTAGCTTAGCGTTGTCTTAGCTTTAGTTTAGCTTTCGTTTAGATTTAGCTTAGCTTTAGCTTAGATTTAGCTTAGCTTTAGCTTAGTTTAGCTTCAGCTTAGCTTTAGTTTAGCTTTAGCGTAGCTGTAGCTTAGCTTTAGCTTAGCTTGATGTAGCTTCGTTTTAGTTTCGCTTTAGCTTAGCTGTAGTTTAGCTTTAGCTTAGCTTTAGCTTAGCGTTAGCTTAGCGTTACTGTTACTACTCCTAGGGGCTCCAACTCCTAGGTAGGGTCGCACTGGGATAAGTTTGTATGATTGTCATGTTTCTGTTCATGTTCCTTATGCTCATAAGTATTACTATTCTTTTTGACATAAGTATTATTGTTCTTCTGATAAATCGTACCCTTTGTTTCTTATGATTAGTATCCTTTATTCTTCTTCTGGTAACACGTCCCCTTGCCCCCGTCGTCTGCGCACGTGCCCTCGGGCCATGAGGTGCTATCCCCCCTCATCGTAGCCCCCTTTCCACCGCTACGCCACAACCACGGAGTTTGTCCCCCCCTACACATATACGTACACACAGGCACCGCACATGCGTATACATACATATATATATATATATACACAATATATTCGTATATCTATACATTGCAGCACCCCGCGATTGCGGGTGCTACACATTGTAGCACCCCGCGGTTGCGCGTTGCGAGTGATGGGGCGGGCGCGGGGTGGGTCGCGGGTGGGTCGCGGGCGGGCCGCGGGTGGGTCGCGGGGTGGGTCGCGGGTGGGTCGCGGGTGGGTCGCGGGTGGGTCGCCAGGTGGGTTCCGGGGTGGGTCGCGGGTGGGTCGCGGGTGGGTCGCGGGTTGGGTCGCGGGTGGGACGACGACAAGCAACAAACAACGCAACAAACAACGCAGCAACAACAACGACAACAACAAGAACAACAACAATATTTGTCATACTGGTCGTTCTTAAGTATCTGGTCTGTGCGCGGGCCATCAACACGCTTATCCCAAACCATCGAAGCCCGCCCTCTCCGTCTTCGGTCGTACCCCTTTGGGGGTGTATACATATATATATATATATATATGTACAAATATCACAAGGTGCAACGTGTATTTTGCGCAGCTCCTAAGGCAGGAGAGGAGGGGACGGATGGAAGGAAGGGACAAGGGGGAGGGAGGAGGATGGAGCACGGGAGGAAACGCGAGGCAGAACCAGGCGGGCGGGTAGAACCCAACGGGCGGGTCGAGAAGGCGGGCCCCAAGCGGCCAGGTCGAGCAGGCGGCTCTGAAGCGCGATTCCTGCATGCATCGCGGGGAGGTCTCGGGCGATGGCGCGATTCCCAAGGACATCGTGAGGAAAGCTACAGCGAGAAGTTGATTCCTGAGTGTCGAGGTCGCGGGGGGAATCTCTTCCTTGTCGGCCACTGACTGAAGTGCGAAGAAGGCTCGAGCGAGAGCGCCGTTCCTGAGTTCGGGGGCCTCTCTGGCCAGGGGCTCTCGGAGTAAATCGTGAGGAAGTATCGAGCAGGAGCCCTTGTCGTCGTGGCTGGGCCTCCGCCAACTTAGTTGAATTGCGAGGAAGTCTCGAGCGAGAGCGCCGTCCCTGAGTTCGGGGGCCTCTCTGGCCAGGGTGTCTCGGAGCAAATTGTGAGGAAGTATCGAGCGGGAGCCGTTGTTGTCGTGGCTGGGCCTCCACGGGCCCACATTTAGGCTCAAGCCAACGCTCGAGCGGTAGCCTCGTTTTCAGAGAAAATGCAGCCGGCTTCGAGGCGAGAGCGCGCGGAACCGTTTCCGCATATCTACCATACTTATTCTTTAGAAATGAGTATTCAACGACGACAACGACAGCAGCAACAGCAACCGCAACATCAACAGTCAGCAACAGCAGCAACAACAACAGCACCCACAGCAACACCAACAACACCTGCCACGTGAATTTAGCGCAAGGCTTACGAAGCGGGAGCCGTTGTTATTAGAGCCTGGGGGCCAACAAAACAGTTTGAGCGTGAACACTTCCTTGATGAAAACAGGGTGCGAGCCCCGAGGGGGGGCACCTCAGTTATGGGAACGCTTCCTAAGCGGCTTTGCTTAAAATTGTTTGGCATTGCATTGTTTGGCTTTGCATTGTACTGCATTGCTTGGCATTGCTTGGCACTGTTTGCTTGCCATTGTTTGGCATTGCTTTACATTACCTGGCGTTGCTTGGCATTGCTTCGCATCGCTTGGCATTGCTTGGCGCTGCTTGGCGCTGCGTGGCATTACTTCGCGTTGCTTTGCATTGCTTGGTGTTGCGTGGCATTGCTTGACGTTGCTTGGCGTTGCTTGGCGTTGCTTGGCATTGCTTGGCGTTGGTTTGCACGGCTTGGCATTGGTTGGTGTTGCTTGGCATTGGTTGACTTGTTTGGCATTGTTTTGCATTGCTTGGCGGTGCTTGCCGTTGCTTGGCGTTGCTTAGCGTTGCTTGGCATTGCTTGGCGTTTCTCTGCGCTGCCTTGATCTGCTCGGCGTTGCTTGGCTTTGCCTGACGTTGCCTGACCCTGCCTGGCACTGCTGAGAAAAAACAAAACCAACAACCAGGGCGGAGAGCCCGGGGAGCCCGAAGGAACCTCCGAGGAACGGGCAGCGTGTTAAGAGGAGGCCGGCGGCGGGGAGCCCGAGGAGCCCGGGGAGCCCGAAGGAACCTCCGGGAAACGGGCAGCGTGACAAGACCCATCGGTCGTTGAAAGTAGGTACTCCAGATTTCGTAATAAAAGGGAGGGGGTCTGGACCCTCCAAGACAAGCCATTTCAGACCTCCCCCGTGGGAGAACCCTCCAACACATCGTCCCCAGACCCCCCAGGCCCTCCAAGATAGCCTGGAAGAGACCCCCCCCCGAAATGAGATCCCCCTCCCTTTATTACGAAATCTGGAGTATTTTAGGATTTCCAGATTCCAATCTACTTTCAGCGCCTTCCTACCTCAAGAGTCGAGCGGTTCGCCCTCTTCCCTCCTCTTCAGGAGGCGGGCGGAAGCCCAATCTATTTCCAACGCCTTCCTACTTCATGTTTATACCCACATCTTTCGACCGATGGGTAGGAACATTGGGGGCGGGGAGCCCGAGGAACCAGGGGAGCCTCCGAGCAACGGGCAAAGTGCGGAGGCACCAAACTTTAACCAAGCAAGAGCCCTTTAGGCAAGCGCACTTGGGGAGCACTGTGCACTGGAGGGGGGATCAACAGTGGTTCTTTAAGAACGAGAGCTCAACAACAATGATTTGAAGACTGTTCGCTCTTATCAGCTCGCGTGCCATTCACGAAGGAAGGGACAAGGAGGAGGGAGGAGGATGGAGCACGAAAGAGAGTAGCAGGAGGGGGACTAGGAGGGCAGAGCCAGACGGGCAGATCGGGCGGCTAGACCCTGACGGGAGGGTCGGGAAGGCGGGCCCCGGCGGCCAGGTCGAGCAGGCGGGTTGCTGAAGCGTGCGTCCTGCATGAATCGCGAGGAAGTCTCGAGCGATAGCGCGATTCCCAAGGACATCGAAGGAGATCCACAGCGAATCGCAAGAACGTGATTTCTTTGTCAAGGGCGCGGCGTCGGAATAAATTGCGAGGAGGCCCAGAGCGAGAGCGCGATTCCTACATACATTATGAGAAGTCCTGCGCGTGCGATTGTGGAATGGCTAGTGAAGAAGCATCAGGCGGGATCCGTTGTTGTTTTTGTTGTTGTTGAGGTTGTTGTTGTTGATGTTGTTGTTGCTGCAACTCGGGGGCCAGGGGCCCACTTTGGTGATACTGCATTGTCCCTTGTAAAAGATAGGATGGACACGTCACTTGAAACCTAGAATAGTCTCTGGAAGGG